AGTAAGGTACCATAATAATTTCCAAAGGACGACTGGGAGCCGTTTTCGGGACACTATTGGTGGTTGGACCTTTTCAACTCAACTCCTATCCATCATCTCGCCTCCAGGTTTTCCCCTTGCCGAAAGGGCTTCGTATGAGGTCTCGCTTGGACGCATTGGAGGACCTCAGAGCGGTGAAGCGGTATCTGCCCCAAGAGCTCTGATCTAAACTAGACAAGAGCAATTGATGGCAGACAGCATCATGATGGGACAACTGCGTTTAGTTCCGGATGATGGATCCGAAGTTCATGGTGCCGGAAAGATGGGATCCCTTTGTCTGGTGCAGATCTACAGCTGTCGTCCCCCAAAGGAAAGCTCTTTTGGTGGTTCATCACTGATCTAACACGCACGCGAGGCTTCTGGCTCTGGATAAATGATCGTTGACATACGAGATTGCAACCCGCACGCTAAGACTAGTATCGTTTCAGCGGTCTTGATGTAACAGAAAGGCCCGAGCAGACGGATAGAACGGACGAGGAGCATATTGAGAAGAAATGGAAAGTCCAGCAAAAACTCGGCGTGCCACTGTCGTGCCAAAAGCTACTACATGGCCACGCGATAAAGCAACTTCGACGATCATAACTCGGGGAATGGCAAGGTAATGAGAACCAACCTTGAGCGCTACTCGGTAGTGTACAACACTGAAAACAGCTTTCTTACCTACAGTGATGCAGCAAAAGTTCCTGTGCACGGCCCACATCACCCCCTTTCTAGAATCTGACCGTTTAATAACATTCTTTATTCTCTTAGCCAATAATGATCTAATAGATAAGCTAATATATTCATTTTGAAGAGGAATTCCAGGGGTTTAATACTTAGTATACCACCCCCTAGTCTTGTGCACAGCTTCGAGTCTATGGGGCATTGAATCGATTAGGCCATTAATGAGGTCTTGAGGCACCTTTTCCCATACTTCTACTAATAATGCATTGAAAAGGGCCGTATTCTCTACATTTCCTGTTAATTCTGAGAGCTTTGGGAGGTCTTTATGGAGGATATCCTTTATTTTCTTCCATACGTATTTAATAGGGTTGAAATTAGGGGAATGAGACGGCCAATTAATGGTCCAAATTCTATACTTCTCCAACCACGCTTTGACTTCCCCCAAAGTGTGAATTGGGGTATTATCTTGCTAGAAAAAGGCTCCAGGAGTATAATTTTAGAGTAGATCTTCCTCGAAATATTACAAATAATTCTAAGAAGTATACCTATTCTTCTTAGAAAGCTCATCTCTCTCCATAATGATTGAGGGTAACCTCCCCCCTTTCCAAATCTTCCTAAAGACTATTTGTCAGAAGATATTCCAGACGGTACCTAGATATCTCCACCCTATCGTAACACATATTGAGTCAGGTATGGGCATACTTATCTAAGCATGTCACGGCATATAAGAGTGCTCACCCCGTTGGTCTCTATCAAGACTGACGGATTAATTAATTATTACCTTACAACCTATTGTCTATTTTGCTTACGTTCTGTGAAGTCGTATGTGAGGTTCTAAGTTGAGGCTCTCGATAGTCATTGTCTTCGCTTCTTTTGACAAGATTGTTGCCAATCGTTACGCACTGTTGCTCTGTCCAGCAACTAGTTGCTCACTCTCTTATTCTCTGTTAGCATTACTTGTGAAGTACGTCTTCACGTAATACTATTGTTTTGAGAGTTGGCTTCCTATAGGATATAATATTGATTTTATCCTTATCCTATTTCTGATGGGGAGCTCGGAAAATCCAATTATCGTGACAATTTGGGGCGTTTTGGATAATACTCTCATCGGAGTAACTCCCCTCGAAGTGGGTCAGTTTTGGATTATCGAGGATGGGTGATTACTTTTTATCTTACCTCTTTCAATTCCCTCTCTCTCCCTCTCCAAAGGGCCTCAAATTAGAGCCTTTCTCCAACGCTTTTAGGAGTGAGCTTTATCCTTTTTGCTAATCTCCATTTTCATCGATAATGAGGAGGTAAAGCTCGGCGGATGGTGTTCGGATGAGGAGAACCAGGAGTGGAGTTCGCGAGGTCTTTCCTTGAGATCCGGAAGGCCCTTTTTACCCGGGTAAGGACTCGATGAGTAGTGGAAAGACTAAGCTTTTTAGGCCTCCTAGATCGAGGAAGAGAGAGAAGGTTTCGTAATGATAGAAGCATTTGATAGTGGTAGCAATGGTATTGCGGTGACAGCCAAATTGGGCTGCCAGATCCTTATTGTTATACCCGGCCAAATGAAGACTGTAGATGGCAGCTCGAGCTTCCTTTTAGATGCTTAGTCCGCCCACGGCCCGCGGTCAGATTGGCTACCACGGCTTCCATTTTGAGCTAGAAATGGTTGATTTATTGTAAAAAGAAAAGAAACGGTGGGTGGTGAGCTATATAAATTTTTAGGGTGGCCAGTGTGTGCACAGAAACTTTTGCGGGGTCACTGTATCCCACCCGAGTTGTTCAAGAGCTCAGACTGTGTAAGGTCGTTTAGCCGATGATCGATCTCTTCCAAGTCTTACCTCATGATTCACCGAAGCCATCAGCTCTGTTTCTGGGTAAATTTGCCTCAAGTTAATCAACACAATTCGGCTTTTCGTGCGCACTATGCCTGAGCACACGACGAAGTGCTCTGGCCGCGTCTCTTCAGGGCCACACTGCACGCTACAGAATGCACATGCAGGTGTTCGTGATGTACGTATGCATGATCCTAGTGAAAGAATTTTGTTCCTGCATTAGACAACGACGCTATTACCGAACTCGTCATGGTCCTGTCTTACAGTTCAGCCCTGGTTCGTTTGTTAGCGCGGTTCTTGTGACAAGGGTCCGCAAAACACCACAGAAAAATAACGGGACAACCACATTTGAAGGAAAAATTCGAGAGAGCATATGAAGCTCTTGAAACGCATCGGGTTGATACTAACTTTTTGCATGAGAATTGGTTGAGTGATGGTTGCGTTTCGCAGAGTGCGCAGTGAAGTCTCGAGCTAACGAACGTTCCAGGGCAAGAGTGTACTCTCCAACTGCAACAATTTAGGGAAGGCGGGCGCGGGCTCGTCTATGCCACTGAATTACAACCCATAAAAGGTTTAATGGCGGGCCGTTAAGACAATGGTTCAAAGAACAGGAGATTTGGCCAAGATATAGTTCTCGGAAAGCCACGAGGCCCCCGCCGGTTCGATTCCTTTGCCAAGAGGCAAGTGCTGGATCAGAAATCGCAAGATGTCACCAAAAAATGGAAACGAAATCGCTGGCCAGAAGGCTGAAGTGAGGGAAGGGTTCTTTGAAAACCCCGAGAAGTCTTCCACGATTCCCAAAACTCCAAGAACAGCTAGGCACACTATCACGAAGTCATACTGGATCGGCCTAGTCGTTTCTCCTCGTTTATTAGTGCAAGACCATTTTGCCTTGATGCAGGCATGTTTTTGGGCCCTTTTCTCCGCCTCCCGTCTTTCATTTTATTTTCCACCGGCCGTGGCTTCACCCCACGGGGACTGTCAGTCACTCATCCCGAACGACGGCCGGTCTAGACAAAAAGCGGATGATAATCTGGGGTTCGGTGGGTATCGTACGCCACTTTTGCACACATCGCGATAAAGAAATCCGGGGTAAAAGCGGGCTCAAGGCGGGCTTTGCATAGGGACCTGGCTTTGTTTGCAAAAAAAGAAAAGAAAAAAAAAAGCTTAGGGAGTTCTGGACTCTAAACGATGAACTCATTCTTTGCTCAAAGCTGCCTTTTACCTGCCCAGCCACTAGACTAGGGAACCTTCACTCAATCTCTTTCCTGCACCACAAGCAGCAGCAGTATTACGGACTCCTCAAAGATTCCGATCACACTACTCCTAAACGTAGACACTATAATAACAAGTGAAAATCACATGGCATTAAACATACCGAAACCACTAGCATCACGAATCGCACAAGTCTCAGCCGTGGCAAACGAAGCATAGAACAGCATGGGAAACGTCTTTTCACAAGCAAAACTTCCCCAAAGCTTAGGTACCCACCCACACACACACCAAAAAGAAGAAAGGTAAACTTCCTTTCCCCCCACATCCAGTCGTCTTACACCCAATTCATCGACCTACATATGCCCAGCTAAAGTCTAGACACCTACACAGTCTCACTTCAATCATTCGTGTTTTCGTTCCTTTGCATGTATATATCAGCTTCCCTCCAGCGACAGCGGCGGCATCTGACAATCACAAGCTTTTTTTTTTTGCTTTTTTGTTTCATTCAAATGTTCTTCCCACAACTGTCAGACCAGCCAAGCAGCACACAAGATCGAACCAGATCGAGCTGGTGGCGCTTTGAACGCCACCAACAGCAAAAAAAAAAAAAAAAAAAAAAAAAAGGGCAACGAAAGCAGCAACACAGTAAGTGCACATGTACATGGTATGGTAATTGCTGGTGTTGAGCCGAGGCGGAAGTCAATGACTAGTCTAGGGGGAGAGGTAGGTAAGTAGCTTCTGTCTAGTTTTCAGCAGTTGAGTTGTGAGTATACCCAGAGGTAAGGTACCTTCAGTCAATATAGATTGGCAGAAAAAAACATCTGATGGCTAGCGGAGCGGGGAGGGAGTTGGACGCGATTGGTGAGGAAGTCAGTGAGGGGGAAAACTCAACATGAAGCAGAAAAGGGGAATATCGAAGATGGACACTGTGAGATTGATGAAGGGTGTATTTTGCTTATCAAATGTTACTGACTAGACGGGGCCTGATGAATGGTGTAGCTAGGTACTTGAGAAGGAAAGAACAGTGAGGAACTAAACGAAGAAACAGGGGTGGATTGGCCTTATCGATCCTGAGTAGAGTCCGACGGATGAGAGAAAATCCTGGATACTAGATGTTAACTTTCACGGGAAGTGCCTACAGTAGATACTGGTTCATTTGAGAATCGTTTCTTATCCAAGAGGTGTTCACAGGGGGGCGAATCCATATAGCTAAAACAATCACTTATAGACATTTGAAGATTTAAGAATAAAACTGACTATGTAGCAGCATAGACAGGATGGAAAATCCACGCCAGAAAGAAAATCTTGAAAAGATCCGAAGGCGGATGTGAAACCTTGCGATTCGTCGACCAAACTACATACCTACTCATGGCAGACACTTCGTCTCTGAAAATCTTCAAGACGGTTGATGACCTCCCTGAGACTCGGTCGACCAAAGTAGTTCTCGTCCCACTTACCACGCTCCTTCATCTCATGTCGCATCTGCAGAAAGTCTTCCGCAGCTTTGACCTCTGCGGTCCACCAGTCTTTTGCCACTTGAAGAACCTGGCTTTCTGCTTCCTCCTCATTATCAGTGGCAGACCCTTGAGTGTCTTTCTCGCGCAACAAGACCACTTTACTGCCACGCCGCGTGACCAGACTCGACAAAACCTCCCTGCGACCCTTCGTACACTCATCTATCAAGCTTCTCAGCTCAGAAGGGGTATATCTCATCTCAGGAAACTGCAAGTCCGGCTCGCGAGCATAGGACTGCCAGAAAGCAGCCTTGTCTGGCCCACTCTGGCCTTCGAAGATGCACCAGAGGACTCGGCCCAGCATGTACACCACGGCCGCCTCCTGTTCAGTTTTGGAAAGGCATAGCCACGCGATGTTGAAGCTGGTGTAGCTTTCCGGCCGTTGACTGTAATTCTCGCAGGTCTCTAGAGCTTCCCAGTCTGGCATCTCCCGTGCGAGCAAAGCGGCGTATTTCTCTGTGACGTCCTCGGGTATGGAGAGATCCGGATCATTGTCTTCGAGTAAGCTGTCGCTGGCCAGGATGCGCACGTACTCCAAGGCGTTTACCTCGGGTGCGCCAAACTCGCACCACAGTCCACGCTGTTCGAAGTCTACCATGATGATGTCTCCGGCCTCGGAGAGGAGGATGTTGTCGAGACGGAGATCGGGATAGTACATCTGGCCTTGTTCACTGATGTGCAACAGACCCTGAGCCAGCTGGATAGCCCACTTGAGTTGGTCCTTGAGCGCAAGTTGTCCGTGGATGCGGAGGAGCGGCAGGGTATCTCTGAGGCCCCCGGCAGGATGATACGGTATCATGAACCCGACAACTGCGTTCTTTCCTCCGAACTGGCACTGCTTGGTCACAAGACGGACCGGACGTGAGATGGCGTGCGGATGGGGTGGCATCTGCAGCAAATTACGCAGTTCGGTGTAAAGGTATTTGGTGCCGCTGGTCAAGGCCTTCAAGATCCAGAGCTTCTCCTTCGCCCCTGTTCCGTTGGCGGCGTCTGTGGCCGTGGCCTTCCCATCATCATTATCATTATCTCCCATGCGAACAAGGCACACGCTCTCGGTCAGTTGGCGCACAATGCGGAGCCTGAAGATGTCTATCGGCTCCGGAAGGCTATGCTGAGGCAGACCAAGTTGGGCCCCGAGCTTCGAAAGCCCAAGCAGCTGTCCTTCGAGGTGGAACGTTTGGGCAATAGTAATTTTGATGTTACGGATATCGAACTCGAGATTCTCGAAGATGATTCGGGATCCAAAGGGCAAGTTCATATACATCTCAGCAAATCTATGCTTGTTGTCACCCTGCTGACTTGACTGGGTCCATGCTTGCAGTGTTCGCAGGATATGGCGCGAGATTCCAAGCCTCTGTACCCGGATGGCATCTTTGGTATGGAAAGCGGCATCCAGGTCGAGCAGGTCCCGTAGCAGTTGGCAGTTTCCCGCTTCCTGAGGGAGGAACACATCAAATCGAAGGGGCGGGACATGGTACCCTAAGAACAGAGGCAATGCGTAAAACTGTGTTCCTTGGCCGGTACACCCGTCGATTCTCCAGAGGGGGTTTGCTGGTGGTTCAAGACTGTCGATTCGATTTTTGGGGTTAAGTTGGGAGTGGAGCCATGACTGAGATTCCGGCTCGGCGGAAGGAGGGCTTGATGGCTTTGGAACGCTCGGTGAAAAGGCAGCTGTCGGGTGGATAACGTTATGGATAGAGGCTGAAGTGAGCTTCATTGTGTCTTGGTGACGTCCGAGGAAGTCTCGCCGAATAGTGGGGAAAAAAACTGCTCAAACTCTGATGGTCGTGGACACTATTACTTAAGTCTTACGTTAGCACTTTGAACACTGAGGTGGAAGCACCTGATGGATATACTAACTGTAGGGGATTTGCCGGCGATGAGCAAGCGTCTATTGATGTGCCCTTGGCCAACAACCGGAGCTGACTGCGCAACTACGGGTAGTTGATCGCGGCTACTTTGGACTCTGACTACGCAAGAGAGCCGAGAAAGTGGGTAGGGTAACCTCGATGGATGGGCAGCCACAGTTATCAATGCAGAGGTGACTCGACGCCAATCTGCAAAATGACAGCGACACGAAGAGGCTGGAAAGGAGACTGATTCAGCTGGTTAGCCCATATTCGATGTCTTCCAGTTTTTTGACAGAACAATTCAGGTCAATGAATGTCACTGTCATGAAACGATGACATCCAAGCAGAAAAGAGCATTGTTTGAAGCCTCAAAGCCCGGCGAAGAAGGCGCGAGACACGTCACTGTCACTTAAGAGGAGGAAAGAAGAGAGGACACATGAAGTCGACGGGAAGAAAGCACTTGCCTATTGTTCGAGTAGTAGTGGGTGTCAGATGAGGTCGGGTCTGGCTGTCGGAGGAAGGTGCGGCCGGTGTTCACCTGGTTGAGCCGGAGTTGTAGTTCAAGCCAGCCCGATTGACGGAGACGGAACTCTCAACGTTCCCGACCTCGCAAGGTATAAATACTGCAAAATGTAAGCGTGCCTCCTCTGGAATTTCACCCAGCACGGTATGACGAGGGAGCCAGTTCAGTTGCCTTAGTTGTTGTAGTCTCACCATCGAGGCTCATATCCGTCAATAGCCAGCTGCGCTGCATAGCGGACATGAGATGTGGACCGTCAGAAAGACTCGTGGCAAGTCCTCGACCCGCCCGAAACCTCACCGAGTGTTTGCGACGGTGGAAACCATGCAGGAGTATCCCAGAATGGACAAAGATGGCAGAACAGTTGTCGCTGATTGTGTTGCTGGCTACCATGTTGACAGCTTGCTCGCGGATCAAGCTGGCCTTCTGATGCCATGTCGTTGCGGCCATTCGTTTTCATCGGCTGACCTGGACATATTTTCGGCTCACCTAGTGATGACGTGCAATGGGCAATCGTACTAAAACAACAAAGCAATATGGCACTTGGCGACTTAAGCAGTGAACACCAAAATGGGTGCTTGGCACACACCGATTGCTAGACTCGAGGTCTATCCTCATCTGAGGTTCGCCCTATGAAGCCATTCGGGGAGCCCAGAGCGCCATAGCTTGCTCAATGAGAGTACCCGACAGTGTTGGTGCGCGTGCCGCGGTTCTTTCTACATGAAGTGATTGACGCTTCCCACGTTGTGTCATCATGATTTGGGGCACTCTTCGTGAATGACAGAATCTCTAGGGACAAGTAGCGTCTTTGTTTGAGTCGAAGAAAGGCAGATGTCCTGATCGAATGCGGTCTATGAGTATAGCATCACTTGATGCTATCTCCCGTCTCTTTCTGGAAGGCGTAGAGGTTGTAGGGCTCGCTGAGACGAGAAGGTTCACAATCTGTTTCGAAAGCATGTTGAGTGGCCCGACCTTACCAAGACCTGTCCTATCTTGTGTGAAAGACGTTAGAAGGTTTCTTCCTGAGCCACCCCATTGGACTTTCCCTCAGTCGCAGTCACTGTTTGAGTCTCCAGAGCAAATGAAACTCACCTCGCAAGATCTTGCACACAATACCCCAAGAACAAGAGGAGTTCGTTGTCGTCATGGAAAATCTGGGCCCCCTATTTGGGGAAGAAGGAATGATGTGAGTATTGTCCAGCGACAAAGGCATATGTTCCAAACTATTAGCAGCATCTCTGAAACTCGTGGTCAGACTACACTGCAGGAGCAGATCGGGGTTTCTGTCAAGCGTTGTCTTGACAGTGGTTGGTTTGTGGCCGGCCTTTCACAAACGATGTCCATCAGGTGGCAGAAAGGCACCACATTTGTCGTCACTGTCCGGTGGTGGTTCTCTCACAGCCCATGAGCTTGAGCGAAATGTAGCTGAAACCGACCTCTACGTCCATCCGACTTACTAAACAGTAGCTTCTCCTCGTACATGGGGTTTTTTTCAGCTAGAGGCTCTGGTCCGCCCTGACGAACACGTGGGCCTGGGAGCTTGGTGGTATTGCAGCGGTCGTAAATCGCTACTTTGGAAACACTTGGCTCAGTTGGTTAGTAAATATGAGATGTGTAACCACCCTCTTACGTAATATGTCCCTTATTTTGGTTTCTGAAAGACGTTTATCTCCGCCGTACCGTTCAAGCAAATTCCCACTGGATGTGTCTGGAATCGACGGAAACCACGATCTCAACTGGCCAATGTCGTCCAGTATGCTCTCACATGCAGCGGCAGAGCGTATCACGAGACTTGATCCGTGATATCACTTCATCTGCCCTTGGTGGTGAGAATCGACCTGTCACATATCGAGGTGCCAGATGTGTAGCTGCCAACGGCTCATCGAAACAGAGTCAATGGACCCCACAGAACACCATTGACCCATATCCTCATACGAGCTCCCACTCTCCTTCAACTCCAAACCGGTCTGACGGTAAGATCGACCAAGACAGACCGGAGGCAGGTGAAACGAGTCTAAGCATCGGGGTGGGAACAACAACCAATGCGTCGAACGGACGGGCCTTGAAAGAGACGAAAACAGAATGGGATGCGTTAGCGAAGAGCACTGTACGTGCACTCATTTGCCAACGGTGTGCTTTGTGTGTGATGACTTCATTCCTCGATCCGATAATAGTTCAGGCTCCTAACCGTCCAGGACCACGGGACAACGAACGCTACGTTGGCCGTGGAAACTGCGATGTGGTCGTATGATAGACAACGTTGCAAAAATTGTCAAAAAGATGGAAGGGCCGAAAAGCGAAGGAAATGTTGTCTTGACGAGGCCGCAAGCCCTGGGTTATCGAAATGCGTAGGTTGTTGAAGGAGTCTGATGTCGAATCAAGGTGAAGACTGCGGGGACTCGGTAGGAAACCCGACAAGCCGGTTCAACGAAGAGGGGCACTTTCACTTTACAACCACACTTCCCGCGACTTTATGCTGATCAACCAGTGCGAAGGGGTCGGTTGGATGCTCCAGTCCTGTTGGAAGCGGTTCTGGCAGTTGGAAGGAAGTGAGGATGAAATAAAAAATCCCACTCTTTTTGGACAGAAGAGTGGTCGTGGTCGGGGGTTCGGCTGCCACGTGAGTATGTATCGGATACTGCCCGCCCCGTTTTCTCCCCGCATTGTGCCCCGCATCCGACAGCTGGGCAGGCAACCATGCATGTCCCGCTCCTACTGTTGCCCGTAGGCTTGGGAGCCGGCAAAAAGTGGATACATATTTGACTGTTTCGACTCCACCAAACGCGGGATAGAAATTGAGCAAAGCCCGGACGGCCGCCTTACTGGGCTCGGTCATCAAGGTTCCTACCGAGCATTTCTGCCATTGACTTCATCAAAAGGAACAATCCTTCCCGTCGCCAATGCGAACCACTTCGTTTGCTCTTGATTTCCGACGATCTGTCCCTAACAACATAGAATCACCATCTACCATCCGGATATGATCGACTGTCCGTGCGTCATGGTAGCCAGGCGGCCAGGCAGTAAAGTCAGCAAATTCATCTCCTGCCAGACGCATGTCAGGCCGGCCTGGGGCTCGATGATACCACCATGCCAAACACATTACACTCATTTGCCCCTGCATCCAGTCATCCGATAAGTTTACATGGGAATGTGGCATGTTGGATTGCTTCAACTTTTACCCATCGCCAACTCCGAGCCAGTGTGCCGTATGCCCGTATCCCACCGCCGGCCAAGTGGTGACGATAACAGGGATAGATAACTTCACATTTGATAATGTGAGGAGTCGCATGGCGAGTGTGCAAAGGGCTCGGAATCGACGGGTTTGTGGCTCCCCAGCCTTTCTTTATCCATGCCCACGGCCTCGCGCTTGACAACCTTGTCCTATAGTAAGCACGACATATTATATCACGGCGATACGGGGTTGCCTGCCGGTGCTCAGATATTTGGGCGACGACGACTGGTTATGCAGGTGATGCGATGCGACTCACCTTGTGTGTGACGAATGACAGATCGAGGATGCTATTCCAAACCGATTTCCAAGTGGTCAGTCAGCTGTTCAAGCATTATCTACCCATATCACCTCCAAGAAATCTCTCGGCAGGATCCGACAATCTCCTTCTCAAGCGCTATCATCTTATCCTCCTCGTCGACGAAAACTGGAATATGGCCGATATATCGCCTGGCGTAGTGCTCGGACGCATAGAAACATTCCAAAGACTACACGTTACTGAATCCTCAATCTTGGCCCGCTGTGCCCTGGCTAGAAAGGCCTGGAAGGGAACATTCCTGAGAGATTCTGGTGCAAGACATCCTGTTTCCTGCATGAAGCTAGCGTTGAGGTGATCCCTAGTAACCACCCTTGGCCTGCCAGGGGGGTGCCATGACACACCTGTTGATCGTTTGCAAAAAAAGTCATCTCGAGGCTCTTTCGCGATCGGGTACCTAAACCACATGCTGGGGTTTCTTTTGTGCTCCGTCAGATGGACGTTGCAAAGATAAGGCATATAACGCCTCTCATATATGCCTCTCAGCCTCCGGCCCTTGTGGGAATTTGGTGTCCGGAGAAGTGTGCAAGACCGAGACCCCAACGGCTACAGCCACCGGAGACAGTCCTCGGAAAATGGTCGTCCTAGAACGGGGAGGCGATCCTACTTTGTGCGACAGACGCGCAGGAGGCTAGAGGATGGGCGGGCTTCTGTTGGAGTGAGTGGTGAGAGAGACTGGATGGATGGGGGAACAAAGTGTCCGAGAGCCACATCGTCAAGTCCAGGACCCTGGGCTCGTTGCTACCTAGAGGTAGCGTCGGACTGTCGGTGCCCATGGTGCCTTACCCCATACAGACCTTGCTCTTTGCAACGTCCAACGGCCTTTGCGCAACCTGGAACATGGGCGCCGGCTTGCCTTCCATGGAGGGCCTTATTCCGCTCGACTCCGGTTTCCCTTTCCTTCCAATCCCATCTACCGACTATCTCTCTTTTTACTGTAGATAGGCCCCAGCCCGGGGTCATCTAAGCTGTCCCACGGATCTTGCCTATCCCGTACCGTAGGTCGTGCCGGGAAGCAGGTTGGTTCTGCCGAGCGCCAGAAAAACGTGGTCAGCTCGCGTCTTCCCCACGACCGGTGAATCTCTCTTCTCCCCTTCATCTCCTACAAACCTTCACCGATTTCATCCCTCGCTGCCACTACGAGACGAAGGCGTCCATTCAACCTGGAAAACCCCCCGCCGCCGACTCTTGGTTCTCCACCGGACGACATTGCGAATACGCCTGGGGATCCAGCTCGGTCTGCGCCCGTGAGACAAGCCGCCCTGGGCGCCAAAAAGGTTCCGCCCAAGTACCTTTCCTCCCATCTGCCACTGCCTGCTACCCGACACAGTAGAGGTAATACCCGAAACCTCAGTTGGCGATTCCTCTCTGACGTCTCCGTTCGTTCCTCACCGTCCTGCCGCCAAGCCGTTTCTGGGTTGGAACACCACAGCATAGCGCCTTCACCGGCCAATTCGCCTCACGGCCACCGCAGACATCGTCTCTATCTACTGTCGTCAGATCGTTCAACCTGCCTGCGGGGTCACTGATTTACCCCGTCTGCTTACTTCGGGACTTTGCCTCCGCCTTCATCGTCGCTCGAACCACTACTGGAACTGGACAGCGGTTCGGCGCGATTTTGGCTGCATATCTTGCTGCCGAAAACCTGTGTCTGTCTGCTGGACGTCCCTTGTCTGGGTGTCGTCGGCTCACAGGCTTGGCCACTCGCCTCCATCGGTCTATCAAGCTCTGCAGACATTGGCCTTTTTGCGACAGCACCTGGGCTCGTGGTGGTAGGCCAAAGAAAGCTGGGGAAGAAGAGCGTTTGGTTACTCGGGCAAATCAGGCGTTGGGTTGGCGGTACTCGAGCGAGCAATCTGTGCTACCGTCCACAGACAGCTCGCTTCAAGGTTGCTTTACCCTCCCGGTTCCTCACCGGCACCTCCACTCCTCACCATCTGCCTTCCTCTCTCCTCTCACCCCTCCCTCATTCTACCTTTCAAAGGGTTTACCGGTTCTGACACCCGCAGCTGCACTCCTCGCTCCTCTTGGTCACGCTGTCTGCAGCTCTCCATTGATTCATCGTTGCGGCCTGCTCTCTCCGGGGCGATGGCGCTCCTGTGAGGACGCCCGGTCTCCGCAACCTCATTTCACTCCCCAACGTCCCCGAGGTGCACCTTGGTACTGAAGCGGCCTTCTCCTTGCCTGCTTGGAGTCTACGCTGCGGTACCGGGGTGCTATAGGTAGTGCTGGATGTCATTTGTTTCCACCGTGCTTCGATTCCACCTACTACCCTACCTTACCTAATACGGTACACCCGGCGGTACCTTTCGACAAAGTACACCCACCCATCCTCGTTTGCCCGTGTCTCTCGTTCTGTCAGACATACCTCCACAGTCTCATTCATCCACCATGGTAAGAGACCCAGTTTCTTTCTTCTCGGCTCGCGGCAGGCTGCATGGCCCCAGACTGAAGATCTCCATGTCTGATCCTCTTCTGTGCCTGCTAGCTAGACCGTCAAGTGTTTTCCCATCTTACACTCCCCCATCACATTCGCACACACATACATACATACACCTCCACACCCTTTCCTTCTCCCGGGTCATCCAACCCATACCCCTACACCAGCCCTCCTCCCCGATTCCCCATGCTTGTCATGGCCTCCCTCACCGGTCCTGACGCATCTCCTCTTTGAGCGCCCCATCCTCTCAGCTGCTCTTTTTGTTCTTCCGATGTGCGGTGAATTGATGATGCTTGTATAGAATCCTAATTTAAGGAAGCGCCGGGCTTACTGCCCCGAGCAATCGCCTGCCGAGCCAGTGCTCCAGGACTTCCCTCATCGATCCTCGCCCGGGTGTTTTGAGACCCCACCCCTGCCGCTCAACAACCACTTGCCGGTCAACCATCAGTATATACTTAGGCAGGCCCCCAACATCGAGGTGACGATCACAGTATCTCTTTATGACCTGTTGAACTTGCATCGTCCAGAACAGCGACAACTGTTGCTCGAGAAAGCCGCACCAAGCCTCGAGGTCCCAGTTGGCACTCTTCTGGAACTCACCAAGCTGCAGTCCCACGCCCACAAGAGGCCACGTCTCGATCCACCCCTCGCCATGTCAACACCGTATACAGACGATCCATCTGCACATGAGGAGGGTCAGGAGAAGCCGCCACCCAGCGGGCGATCAAATCATGATCCCAACAATGGGTCCCGCAAACCTTTCACTGCCTTCGCTGAGCCTGGCTGTTTCCCGTCAGGTTGGAGTAGCGGGCCTTTAGCAAGCTGCCTCCAGGATTACTTGTGCCAGCCATTCTCAAGCTTTATCGGCCCTTCAGGTATGTTTACAGGTGCTGGTAGAGACGGTAAACCAGCAAGACTGACCGTGGCTCCAGAATACTCACCCCTCCCACCTACCACACAGCATGAGTATGGCGGTGTCAGACCAGCCATGGTTGATGGCGTGGCATCCTTTCAACCTACCACCACAGTCTCCATGAGCTCGACATCTGTGCCATTAGATCCGATATCACTATTCGCAGGTGGTGGTGATCCGGAAATTGGGGATCCTTTCTTGGCCAGTTACCCGCCACTTCAGCCTACTCCACTAACGGGAACGCAGCCTTTGGCAGCCAGAGAAGAGATGATTTATCCCACCACTTCGCCAATCGCTAACTACGATAGTTCGCCTGACAGCTCTCGTGCAGCAGTGACGGGTGCGGGGGTTCGGCCGCCCCAGCCGCATCTTATGAGTCCCACAGTTACATCACTCATGTCAAGCAGCTATTCAGCTGAACTTGACTCTTCAGTGTATGGACGGACCGGAAGTATGCCGGGTATGCATCAAGGTTATATGGCTGAGCAAGCTTTTGGCGTGAAGAATGATTCGATGAGATACGAAATGCAACAGCGACCAACAGCATTTGACATGTTTCCCCACTCAAGAACCATCTCAGCCAGACGTGGCCCCTTCAAGAACCACGACCAGCGTGAACAGACAGCTCACACTAGAAAAATCGGAAGCTGTATCAGGTGCCGAATGCAGCGAATTCGGGTCAGTAGCACTTTCAGTTGTATAGGTCATTGGACCACCCCATACTAACACAATTCCCTGCTTTATGTAGTGCAACCTCGACCCTGAAGATGAAAAGGGACCCTGCCTGGGATGCAAGAAGATTACGGCCAACACCACCAAGATCTACCGGCTGAACTGCCTACGTTGGAAGATCATGGACGTCAAGCTATTCAAGCCTGGCCAGGTCAAGGACCACAAATGGACCGAGCGCTGGAAAGACAGCGTGGTAGATGACATCGGAAACTGGGCCTCTTCGGAAGTGAGGACGATTAGAGTCACCGAAGGGTATACCGGTAAATGGATCGAGCTCCAGGTCCGTCAGTTCGAACCGCAGCCTGGCGACAGCCTATACAGAAAGTGGGTTTCCAAGAACGGCGAGGTCAAGCGAGCCAGAGTCCCGGCCTTTGCTATCGTCGACATGGAATCCGCCAAGACCTCGTTCAACGAGTACATCAAGCGGGCCCTGGGAAACTGCTGCACCTACCTGCTGCGCAAGGAAAGGCTCCTCCAACGTACATACTCTCTTGCCATTAAGGTTATGAAGCGCTCATCCACGCACGAAACCGAACGCAGGCTGATTAAGAGCACTCTCGATCTCTGGATGTCAGTAAGGCTGACGACCAAGTCGTTTGAGATCGTCGGGGAGGAGAGGCTGGGCATGCCGCAGGATATCATCGATGACCCGGACAGCCCTTTGTGCGGCAAGATCCCGCTGCCCCCGGTCATGGGAGCGCAGATTGATTCCATCCTGATCCACCAGGTCCAGCCCCAGCTTCGCCGGGACACGCTGGAGGAGCTGCAGAAGATGACCCAGGAGAAGAAGCAGAGAACATGGCTTACCACGTATCTGGTGACGTTTATCCTGTTACACAACATCGCCCTCATCACCAAACACGACGCAGATTACGCCAAAAAGCACAACATGGGGAGACGATTTGCCAGGGAAGACAGCGTCAGAGAGTACAACATTGGTGAGTTACTTACCTGCCTACCGACCTTACTTGCCCAAATGTCCCTGCCCCCGGAGCCGGACAAATCGAGAACCCTTATTCTGCGGTGTTGTTTCGTTGTTTTGGGGCGGCCGCCGCCGCCCACCAAATGTTTCGGGTTTCCTTGTTCGTGGTTATTTTGTCATGTGGCCATGCAATGCATAATTGACAGGCGAGTCATTGACTGATGAAACAAAAACAGGAGCGAATACGCTTCTCGCCTACTTCCACTATTGCAACCGGGCGATCTACCCATTCTCTGCAGAATGCAAGGACCCAGATCTCCAAAGCCTGGCGGAGCTTGACGAAGACGCCATGCGATTCGTGCGCGAGACTCGGCAGTTGGTAGCTGAACAAAGTAAGTTGTAACCTTATGATGCTGCAGATACCTACATACCTTGCCCCAAACATCAAACAAATGACACATGGCGGATGCGAGTTGGCGGCTAACCTATGTTTTTTTTCTTTTCTGGAACAGAATCAGATTGGGAAGGAGTGTTGGCGAGAGAAGAGTACGAGGACCAGTACTACTATGTCAGTCAGCTTTATGAGCCAAACTGGCAACCTCGAGTCATGGCCTAGACTCTAGATGGATGCTGGTGGTGATGGTGCTCTTGCCTATGCTGGTTGGCAAATGACCCAACGAACGGGTGGTGGTCCATCTGTTGTCGTGTGTCATTGCAGTTCGTCGACGAGTTGGTTCCAAGTTTGCAGGTCGCCTCGTCTGCAAGTGAGCGGAAGGAGAAAATTGAGGAGGCTGTTTCGATGCGATGGATGGACATTTGTTGGGGCTGGGGCTGGGCCGACACCAGAAAGAGACGGACGCAGGGAAAGCACGCAGCCCACATCACACTCGCAGGCCGCAGAAGCAGAAGCAGAAGCAGGACCGGCGGTCGTTGGGCGGACACCCTCGTGTGTGTTAGAGAGATGAAGATGAGGCGTATCGAGAGTCAAAGAGGGAAACAGGTGGGACGGGGTGGCGTTTTTGTTGTCTTGTCCTGGCACATCCCGGCCAAGTTTCCCCTTCTCTCGGCCACAGGAGGCACCCGGTTGGGGGTGTGTGCGTGTTGATATGTTGGTTGGGACTTTGGTATGCCTGGGTTAAGGCATGGGTCAAGAGCAACAAGCTACCTTGGCCAGGAAGAGGACAGAAAGCTGGATTTTGGCTCTTTCGCTAAGAGTGGGATCAAGGACCAGGGCGATGAATGAGTGTGCAGACAGACATTTGCTTGATTGATATCTGTCCATATGGAAGCATGGTTTGATTCACTTTTGGAAGGAGCGTTTCTTTGAATTTCTTTAGGCTCTCTCCGTCCGCGATTGAGGCCCAATCGTGTCGGCATGCTGTAGACAACAGAAGTGGAAGTTACATGCCTAGGTTTAGGGAAGTACTTACCTACGTGATGTTCAGTCTGTCAGTAACGTAGTAGAGAATTATGAGAAGAAGTGGTTCGTCCCTTGCTATTGGCTGCGCGAGCGACACCTGGGTTGCTCGCAGGACTCGGTCTGCAACCCTGCACCTTCCTTGCCGCTGTGGGCTTCAGCGAATGCAGGCGCAACTGTGATGTGTGTCACCACTTGTCCAAAGACGATGGCAATGCTGTGATGACGCCGGGATATATTTCTTTGGAGATATCAGACTTTGTTGGTGCCGTTTTGAGGCCTGCCAACCACAATTACAGTGTCGAAAGTGTGCAATTACATCAGATACTAGTAGGGGTTATGACATGGTATGTATGGTAAATATGGTAAGCTTGTACCGTAATGTCTTGTATGCACTGAGAGGTATCTTACAGCCCCACCAAGTTCACCTGGACGTTGCCCGGGCTGGGCTCAGTCGTACCAGGTGGGTGGGCCCGCTGTAGGTTGACGGGTAATGCGGCATGTCGGCTGTCGCTGTGCACATCCCCGTCAACATGATCCATGATGGTCCATCATGGTAACCCTGGCTCGCTTTGGTCACTTCATCACACCTCAAAACAGCAAGAGAACCACTTTGGGAACTGCACGGAAAATTGGCCTACCCAAATGATAGGCTGGTGTCTTCTCTTTTGCCGCTCTACAATACTAACGGGTTGCTAGCTGTGTACAGTTTGGACCATGTGCTCCGGATCGAACAACAATGAAGCAGGGATGAACGGACGGGAACAGATGGCATCTGCCTCAATCAAAGAAAGAAGGATGGGCTGTCGTCTCAAGTCAGCGCATTATAAGCCAAGCAAGCACCAAACACTCATGCCTTCTCCCGATGAAGCTGTCAAGCTAAAGCACCTCTGCGTACATCAAGCCAGACACAGGCACCGCAAGGTACAATGTTTGAAGTGTTTGCTATATGTCTCACCTCCAGTGCGGCTCCTCGCGGTGACGTTCATCGCATGTCTCATTGCCCCTTGGCCCGACCGTCTTGGCGTAAAGTATGTAACACATACCGTATTGACAGTAAGGCGGCGGGTCTGGGGTGAGGTGTGGGTGCGCGGGGCGGGGCGGGGCGGGGCGGGGCGGGGCGGCCGGGCGGGTCGGCGCCCCAAGGTTTCTCAGACCTCCTTTCTAACTTCCACTTCCATCCTGCCTTTTGATGCGCGATGCCATCCAGGCTTTGACGACTACCTACACCACCTGTCAAGGCAGGTACTACCCATGCCTTGTTTGCACTTTCCCTCCAGTTCCTCCAAGCTCCAACATCCAAGTGGAATTGAAGAAAGAATTGTCACGGTGTGACCTGCAACTGAATTCCATCGTCCAGTTCTACACCATTCCACATTCCACCTCACCCGAGATCATGCCCAAATCCAACGAAGCCGACTCTTCAAGCAGGTAGGTACATACCTCAGCTGGACTTCAAACGCCATCCTGTGAACTGCAGTCACGGTTCTACGTCTGCAATTTTACCTACTGTACGCCTGCCGGCCTGTCGCTGCCACTTCCCTCAAGTTCCCCTGGCTGCTCTTACCTCGCTTCAACTCCTCGAAGGCATGATGCCGGATATCACCATTTTCAAGTTGCTCTCTAGCAACTTCCACTAACAAATGTCAAATGACCAGCTGGCACGATCTCGCGGGCTACCTTACCCCTTTCTTACCTCTAGGCAAGCGAGCTCGAGGGGAAGTGTCTGTCCTATCTTTTGATGGTGTGAGCGGAAGCCGCCTTCGTCTCCAAAGGAAATCTCCGGAAGCCGGTCCGCCCCGGCAACCACGCAGTCGACCGATTCGATATGGCAGAAGCACCGTACCACTGTCGCCACTGTGTATGCTTCGATGCGGGTCCAAGCAAGATTGCCCAGTTCGGGCTAGGTAGCAAGACGGGCACCTACATTGGACACTCGTTGTTTCCTACTGTTCCCAGGCTGGCTGCGCATGGCGAGCTGCTAGCCCAAGAAGTTTCGACACGGCATCTTCAACGAAAGCTATCGTGGCCCCTTCCGCCATGGATCTCACCTACTTTCATGGGTAAAATCCAAAACGACACGATCAGCCAGGCACTGTTCGGACATGCCTCCGACTCGTCTCTCATCCGTTGCTCATTGCCGACTACTCTTTGCGAACAGATCAGATGCGAGCAATGAGGCGCAACTCATATCATCGGCTGTCTTCAGCGGCGGGTCCCCGTCCCGTTGATATGTGAGCGCACCTTGTACTAACCGCTCAGACCCAGCCGTCACTCGGTCGGTCGTTAGGCTAACCACTCACTATACTCTCGCCTACTGTGTGTTTGCTGATTTTCGGAAAGGGGGGTGTGGACAGCTTGGTCCTGCCGTCTTCACACTCATGAATGCTGAAAACCAACATTGACGTGTATTATCAAGATTTTGAACTGCAATGACGTCCTCTTTTGTCAGCTATGAACGGATTTTGGTCACCAATTGGCGCAGGTTGACAAGACAGGCACCGTGGTACGTTGAGTTACATCGTGACCGGTTGCTGCTCATCTCAAACAAACAATCACACACCAACACATGCACAGCATTCCTGTACGATACGGGTATGGTACAAATCATCTTCAATTTGGTTTCTTTCGACTTCCTTTCTCAGTCATCGTCCTCAATTCCACTTGGCCACGGCCAGCCTAGCCTGAGCCCCAGCCACCGGACAGCCCCAAGCTGGGGCATTGACATCGTCTGGGGCACCATTTTCACCTGTGTTACCTTCGTTGAGCCTTTGCTTTCAACCATCTTCCAATTTCAGTTCTAGACGCGGTTCGTTCAGTTTCACTCAGTTGTATTTCGGGTCACTCAAGTTACACAACATGGCGGTGGGCTGCTTGGACCGCAATGGCCATCAAGTCCCCTCCATGGTCCCTTCACTTTCTGTCGGGACTAACGCCGAGTCAGATCGGCAGGTTCGACAGGTTGTCGGGAATCTCAGTTTTCGTCCTCATTCTTCCTTTGCATTTGTTTCTCACCGACCGTTAATCTGCACCCACCTGGGTCTCTCTTGCTTCAAGTTTGGCGATGTGGCAAGCCTCTGGGATGCCGGACTTGCGAATCACGGCAGCAAGTGTGCACCGTGTAGTTGTGTGTGTCGTTCGGGCTAGCGCAACGGCCGCAGAGATTCGGCTGTCGTGTATCGTGCTTGCTGGTCGAGTTCATTCTCGTCTCTTTTTCGAAGACATCACAGTTTGGGCCGGCCCTGTGATGTGAGGTTCTACTTCCGGCTCGCCACCGTCGACTACTTACCTAAGGTAGGTATAGCTGGCAAGTGGAAACTATCATCCGGTCCCCGTCGGACTCTTCCTAGCAATGTTTGATGTGGGGATCACCTTTACGATGCCTGTTCTCGCATGCCCCCCTACGCTAGTTTGTTGCACTGGGACATGACGTCCGACCCCGTCTTTACCGGGTATTCCTATATTGTGTGTCGCCCTGGGAGAAACCCGACACGGCCGGTTCCTGCACGATCCCCGGTTTCGGGCTACACACTAGCCTCGAGTGCTCTAGTCACCTTGTCAACATGAATTATTCCCCTGCTCTTTCTTTTTTGACTTTCTGGGGATGCTTGCTACAGCTACAACAAACCCATGCAATTCCTATCTGGTGCTGCTTGCTTTTTCCAGCTGAGCTTGGCCCTTTCCGTTACCGCGGATGCCAGACAGGTGCCATGTCACCACCGACCATGTCCTATGATGGCCCCGGACCGGGGATGGGACGCCACTTCCCACCTCAACCCGTAGGGCTTTGCCCGTTGTCCCGCAATGTCCCCAACCATGGCTCTGGGTTTTCACAGGCGTATTCGCGACCCGTTCTAAGCTGTCCAAACAAGAAGTTACATTCAGGCTTCTCTATGTTGTTGAGTACTATCTACTTCCCTTGGGTTACCTCATCGGCCACGCATGCCCAGCTCACTGACATCAACATGGTCAGTAGGTTCCTTACACGCCCCTCTTGCATGGGAAACCGTACACCTTCCACTTATAGGGCATACCCGCATCCCTGTCAGCCACTTCTTTCTCTTTCTTTTCTTAGCGGCGGCTCAGAGATCCACTGCTGTCTCCAATTTTGGCAAGTTTGACTTCGACACCAACTCATATACTGTGCTTGTGGCATGAACTTGACCTTGACAGCTTCACCGGCCTGCACTTATCCTTCTGGTTCACAACATATCGTCGGCAAGAAGCATCGCGTTGATCGACGGTACCGTCCGTACCTGCACCATCGTCGACGGAAGCCATGATGATAGACTCGTGTCTCTTTCCGTATTCGAGTTCCGAGAATCCTCCTGTCAAGCTCCTAAACGCTAGCGCGGTCGACCGAGTCGAGGCTGGTTTCCTTTCCGTTGACCTGGCAAGAGGACTTCAAGTTTGACCCGGAGCTGCCTCTGTGTCACGTATATCCAAGTCAGTCCGGTCTTTTGATAAAAGGCAAGACATCTCCTCGGTCTTTCGTTTGTGATCTTGTCAACCAGCCGACTTCACATCTCCAACTTAGAAGTGACTTTCCAGCTTTCCAAGATTTCTTGACAATCCGAGTCCTCCCTCAAGTTCATATATTCAACAACCCAGCGTCCACCAGACCACTACCTAGGAGCCATAATCCTGCCTTGGTACCTTTTGAGCCGCAACCTTTCGTCCTGTTTCATTGATATAACTGGTTGCTCGCTGAGGTGAGTGCCATTCATTGGGAGTGTATGCAAGGGGCACCCCTGAAGCTAACATTTGCAGCGCAGCTACATACGAAGCACTACACCTATCAGACGACTACCTGCACGATGTCTTCAGTCAATTCTGGGCCCGTTCTCGCCGCGGCTATCGCTCCAATCGTTGGCAATAACGGCTTCCCCTTTGCCGCCGCAACCAATGCCGAGGCCTCAGCTCTTCCTAGCGGCTTTCCGTCTGAACTGAGATCCAAGTTGGCTTGGACTGGGGCTGACTTTGCCGATGAATCCAAGTACATCTTGCATTTGACTGACACTGACTTGACCGAAGTCAAGCAGGCTATTGCTGAATACAAGTGTAGGTGTACTTCCCCTTAGGTTCCTTGGTCATCACACTGACGGCGTACAGCTCTTGACCAGGATGGTTATCTCGTCGAGCCGAATACCTTCCAGCTGCCCACGCTCGGTTCGAAGCTCAGAGCACTCGGACAGGATGTCCATTTCGGCAAGGGTTTTGGCGTAATTCGGGGCCTTGATCGCGCAGCTTTCTCTGTTGAGGACCTGACATTGGCCTACATGGGCCTCCAGTCGTACATCGCGGAGCAACGCGGTCGTCAAGACAAGCGTGGTAACATGCTCGGTTAGTCAAACGTTGTGGCGGCATCTATCATGCTTTGTGGCTGACATCTTGAACAGTGCACATTGTTGCGGATAACAGCACCAAGCAGGCTGCTGAACATCATCGCCACTCAAACAAGTCCATAGTGAGTCAACGACGCAATAGTGGCAGGCCGTTGCAAGTTTGACTAACCCTTTGTTGCAGACTTTCCACAATGAGGAGGCCGGCGATATCGTCAGCTGGTTGACGAGGAGCACAGCCGCAACTGGGGGCAAGTGTATCATTGCTTCTGCGTACACCATCTACAATGTCTTGGCTGCCACTCGACCCGAATTGATTCGGACTTTGGCGCGCAGCGATTGGCCCTTCTCCATGTAAGTAATCACCACCACACTGGCCGATTTCATGTTATCAAGACTCCATCTAACATAACCTTCTCAGGCCCCGCTTCCAGTGCCGTCCGGTGATATTTTACGAAGATTCGAAGCTCATCATGAACTTTGGCCGAGCGGCTCTTCTCGGGAACCAGGCTCATCCCCGTCCTCAGCATCTGCCATCCTTGACTGCCCGTCAAGTGGAGGCTTTGGATGCCATTGAGGCCATTGCGAAGGCATCTCAGATGGAGATTCAAACCCAGGCTGGCGACATCCATTTCATCAACAATCTGGCTGTTCTGCACCGTCGGGAGGGCTTCGTGAACGGAGAGGATGCATCTACCAAGCGCCATCTGGTTCGTATGCGCCTTCGAAGCACCGAGCATGGGTGGCCAATTCCCAAGGAACTTACTCAAGAGTGGGACGAGGCTTTCAAGAACAAGGGCATCAAGCACTGGCACCTGGAGCCCATGCCTGCATACTACTTCCCCCTCCGCCGCCAGCCCAACTGAGTCACGGTGGTTTCGAAGAAAACGTATAAGATTACACGGGGTACCAGATGGACGCATTTCCTTTATCATTTCTACAATCAAAAAAGCATGTCGGTCTACGGTCGCGGAGCATATTGGCCATGGTGTTTCTAGACACTGACCACTTTTTACACTATCTCCTTGGGTTGTGGATTAAGGAATTCTGGGACTGATTTGCATCACTAGCTTTGGCATGTTGGGCGAGCGTTATTCCTTGGTGTGTTGAACGCCAAGAGGGTGCCCCGGACGAGCAGGTTGGGGTATCATTACAGGTGTCACTGTTATGCAGCTCATATGCATGGTTAGAGAATACAGCAGTCAAGTAATCTTGGTTTTCCATCCCAGACTTTCACTACAGCCACGAACACATTTGATGATACAGTACCGCTTTTTCTCACGCGTAAGAGATTTACCGGGAGCGCTAGCTAGGAATATGAGGGCATCCCGTTGGCGATATTCCTCGTATGCAACTAACTCCCCGTGCATATGCACCTTTTCTCACCCAAATGCCACGTTTGGTAAATCTCTTACAAGTAAGAAAATGCGGTACCACGTTCGATATCCGCTTGGCGGCAACAACGTTATTTCTGTGGTTCGTGTCTTGGGACTTACAAGAGATCCGATCAAGCAGAGCTCAGACGCAGCACTTTGATAGGGCCTGGACGGGACGATCACCCGCAACGGTACCGAGAATAATTGATGACCAGGGGATTGGGCCCCAGGGGTTAGTGACACGCAGAAGGGCGTCTGCAGAGTGCAGCGCAGTGAGCATGCATACGTTCGGGTTTGGTTGCATTAGAATGATGCGTGAGTGGAAACGGGTAACAGCTCCCTTACGCCCGGCAATCCACCGCGTGCTCGTCCTACAGTGTTGCGAAACGCGCATTCAACACAGTTCATATATCTCTTGAACGTTGGACGGTGTTTGTGCGGGAATCAAGTGAACCTCGGGGATCAATGAGATTGTTGTTCGCCGGTAGCAAGTTCATGTCTCAATACAGATGGACCCCCGGGCCATGGTAAAAGTTGCTAGTGCTAAGTGACTGGTCCCGCAAAGGTATAATTAGATGCTACAGGAAACTAAACCCAGACCACTGCAAGGCCAATCGTATGGGGAAATAACTACGTCTTTGAATCCTCTCAAACTTAACCACTTGTGTGAAATTGCCTCGTTTTCAAACTGAACGTGGTATGATGGTGGAGAGAAGAAGTAAAGAAGCCGGTCTTCATTCTTACCGTAAGTTCAGTTTCTCTATGGAGCTATCGTTCCTTTGCTTCCAGGTACAAACAAATAGCTCGATTCCAAAGGATGGTCACACAAAGATATGCTTCCCCTGTTTTTCCATGCGGGTACGGTTGCCAGGGGCTTTGTACAACTCACGACGGGATGTAGTACTAAGAAGCAAAGCAAGCAGCCAGATTGTTGGATGTGAGGTAGGGAGTGTTGTTACACAAGCTTTAGTGCTTCCGTTGCTTGTCAGGCACTAAGTGCATTGAGCCCTTTCACGATACAAGCGGACATCATCATGTTGATATCAAATTATAAGCACTGTAGGAGCATTTGAGGGTTCTCTAGCGCCATCCTTCAGCAGGAGTTGATCATGATACCGCTAATTCTCATTCAAATCGGATTTATTCCCCATACTATCCTAGCCAATTACATCTGGAGAGAGAGCTTTCATGGCGACGCCTCAACGGGGCATGCAGACCTCAGCAAACCACATAATTGGCCAGGACAGGGGGGGATAAATCCGATTTGAATGAGAATTAGCGGTACTCGGACGAGAATAATGATCAAGTGTTTCTTACACTATATAAGTGGTTATTATGAGTACCATAATCAATACAGGTACCGTGACGTATGACAGTCGTTACAATTATACCGAAGTACCACGATGCCCCACATCTACCAGCTTAGCCCTACCAATTGGCCGTGAGGGGTTCTTAACATCTGCAGGCAGCGACGATCGCTCGTATTCAACTTGTAAAGTCCAAGTTCTTTACATTACCATCTCCTGGTCCCCGGGCGGCCAAAAACCCACCCAGATTGTTCCTCAATACAATGCAGCAACACCTCCGTCGACATGCCTGCCTGTCTTCCGCTCGTTCAAGTTTCGTCACACGGTGCGCTGCCGGGCTCTTGAATTTTTGCGCCCCTCTTTCCAGCTCCCGTCTAGTAGGTCCCTATCACAATCACCAGTCGTACCAGTCACGATATCACTATCACTAGAGGTAGCTACAGTACCTATGTACTCCCGGGCCATTACCGGCCGGCCTGGACTCGGGACGATCTCCTACCTACTGATCACTCGGGGACTCTACCACAGTACGGGAATTACTGTCGCAATCATGATGCAAGTATTCGGCTCTCCGGTCGCCTGATTTTCTGACACGTTCACGGTTCCCACATGTCTCGTTCGCGAGGGCTACGTGGGAAACTGCCCGGTTTCTTTTTTGTCTCAGTCATGGTCGGATTACGTACAGTACAGTACTCATCAATTCCCGCACTACAGAGCTGTATCCTGGCTCTGATGAAGAAAGCCCCCGCTGAAGATCAGCTGCGGGGGGCGGGTAGCGAGGCTCGGCCCGTCTTTATTGAGTGAGTCGTGTGTCTGTCTGTCATTAATGATGAAGGGACAGGTCTATTTTCTCGGTTTCTAGGACCGAGAGCTGAAGGCCAACGTATGCCTCATCCTCGAACAGGGGAAACTTCTTTACGTACGTACGTCGTGGCAGATTAGATGAATCCGGTCCCGGCGCTCGACATGAAACGCGCTTCATGGACATAGCCGGTGGGCGAGGACATGTTTGTATGGACGACTAAGTCTACATACCTCAGCTTGAGGCAGAGGTACCCACCGAGCCACCCAATCCCTCGTCTCAGTTGTCCGCACTACACACATACTACGTACTTATACCTACAGACTATCACACGCCACGCAGGTCGGTAGCATGCTTCTCGCCCTACAACATAATGCGCCTTACCTGTTCCGCTAAAGAGTAGCATTTGCTCCCCAGAAGCCCGGTTGTCGACCCTGTCCGGGGCTACGCATCCCGGGAATGAGGTCTCTATCCAACCGCCCACCAGACCATTGAAGCCCATCACTGCGTCTATGTTAGCGGATAGCTGCTTCCTGTATCTCGGGGAAGAAAGAAAAATGCGTGTACATCACGATGAGGGAATCTAGGGCTTGTGCAAGCCATCATCACACCGCTGGCACTCTCGTTGGAGAGAGAAAAGGTCCACGACACTGAAAAGGGCCGGGTATGAATTTTCCCATTTCCCTAATGCTCATGTCAAGCATAATGTTGAAAGGACCTTGCACGGTATCCTCTTGGAGGACCGGATACCGTCTCTTGCTGATGACTGATCAGGACCCTTTACTCAACAGTGTCAACCACCATCAGCAAACATCACCATGTGAGTAAGCTCAAGAGTGCCGTTGAAGACTTTTCTTCAGCCGTTCCTGAAACCAACCACTCTCAAGCCTTGAGTGTTCTGTGCGGCGGGGTGGTGCCGTGAGAAGCTGTTGTACACCACTCCAACATCATCGTCACCCATTACTCGAGTTCACTACATGAGGGGCAAAAAAAAAGAAATAACACACTTCTCCGATCTCGCTTGCAAGACCAACCAAACGCCCATTGCTTTTTCCTCTTCTCCTTGATGCTGCCCCTCGAACGATCTACAGATGCGTTGTACAACGTCTGAATCAAAAGAAGAAACACCATAGACGCACGCATAAAAAAAGCCATACAGGCAAACAGAGCTAGCAGAGCTAGCAGTTACAGCTCGCAGCTCACGGGGAGGACGGAATCGCCAAGCACTCGAGCTCGCTCGGAGGCCAAGAAGACAGGAGGAAATCTTTCGAGGGGTGCCTACTTGATCAATCCCCAAATCTTTGTCACTTGCATTATGGTATCTCTGTCATCTGTCTGTTCTTCTTAGTACCAAACTCTGACACCGAACGGCCCGCCGATATCGTTGACGGACCGTACGCCACTAGTTTACTATCAGACCAGAGCTACAGTGTGAACACTGAACACATTCAGCTTGGCAAATCGATGGTGGTGTGGTCATGTCATGCCAGAGTTTCGTTTTCAGGAACTGAAAGCCTCTCATGCATACCTCGGGGCTTCCTTCAGAATCTGATCATCGCTAACATGCAGTTTGACGGTTCACTGTCTTACTTACACCACTTGGTGACTACTCTAGCGTATAAGTACGTGTGTGGGTGGAACTCACTGCAAACCTCACTCGTGTGCTCGCTTCTTTCTCCCTTTTCAGCTACTTACAACTTCAGCTGAGCACTGTCTTGCTCCTAATATTTCGGAGACCCGGATGCTAAAGAATGGGCCCTGGGTTCCGGTATTCGTACAGAAACCGGACCGGACGGGAGTTTCAAAGCAGGAGCCGACGACCACTGGGTCAAGCAACACATTGCCAGCATAACAATACCTCGCCCTGTACGTACTACTCAGCACTGGAATGCAGTGGGCCCTGAAACGTGAAGACTATATCATGCCAACGCCGGCATGCATCTGTTGCGGATACGAACTCGGGTAGTACCTACAGAAGCTGTACAGCGCCTACCTGCCGACTCGCTTTCCTACCTTTCCGACCCTCTCCGATCTTATTTGTTCGAGTTGTACAGAATCCGGGGAGGGTGCGGGGGAGAAGTGGAAGTTCGGGTACTAACCGTCGAAGTGTAGTACAGTGGTTTTTAAGTAGCAGAGATCGTGCCTGTTTTCCGGTTTGATGGAGTGGACTGACTGAGTGAGTACAGCTTCCTGTCGGACCTGTGAGACCGTTAGAAACAGACATCAGCAAAACCATAATGGAGAGACAAAGTGAAGAGAGATGGCTTCTTGAGACTGCAGTGCTCACGATTATTGGCTCTGGGGGAGAATGTATAACCTATATCATTCAGTTGAATCTTGTGTTGAATGCAGGTAGATACGACGGTAAACGAATGGTGTAAATCCCCCGGAATTCCATGATTTACTTACCGTTATTAAACCTCCCCATTGCCTGACTGGTGGTTGAAAACAGAACCC